CTAGGCGCAAATGATTGGAATTGAGTAATAGAAATGTCCCTTAGTTACAGTTCGGTGCTGCAGGGCCTGTGGCGGTGGCTCTGCACGCCAGGCTGGGCCTTCCTCCGGAGTGCTGGCTACCACCCCAGTTTCTGACCAAGCCATGCCTTGCATTCCCTGGTGCCCACACATCCCTGGGGGACCAGCATGAACCTGCTGCCTTCAGCACCGGGGGATCCCGCAGTGGCTCTGACTGGGCAGCTGATGAAGGCAGCAGTGCCTGGGCCGCTCGGGGTTTGCATCCAGCCCCGGCTTTGCTGCCTCTCTCCCTCCCAACTCCTCCTGTTCCCTCCGAAGGGAAAGCTGTGGCTTTGCCACCTCCTCCATGGTTAGGATCTGTTTTCATAGCTCATGGTCAGCTCAGTGTGCAAAGGGGAGAGGTGCTGGAGGCTGCGCCTGCTGCAGTCCCGCCGGCCGACTGTAGTTAATCAGGAGCTATAGATTCATTCTTTGGTTCTGAAAAGTCTCTGTTACGTCCTACAGGCACAATTCTGTTAGATTGCTGCTCCCAAAACCTGAAAGGTTAGTTGGCCCTCGCTACTCCCTCAAAAACATCTGTGGATGCTCAGCTGCCTGGGACGCGGTTGTGTTTTCACGCCCTGATGTACCACTGCTTGCTGCTGTGAATCTTTCTGTGTTTGTGTGAACCCATCCAACAAATCTGGCAGCCTGTGGTGTTTCTGGTCTCTGCTGTGTGGAGGGAAGGGGTGTTATCCCCACCGCAGCGTCCTGGTCTTCTGGGTGCTTGAAGCTCTGCAGAACCGGCTGCAGAATCACCAAAAGGTGGCAAATGCTTGGTGCTCCCTGTGTCTGAGGGATGTTTCTCTGATTTACCCAGCGAGCGTTAGCATATCTCCATTGATTGCGTGTGCATCCGTACAGCGTGCAACCAGTTTGAATCTGGTGGCGGGCAGCAGTGACAGAGGTCCAGCCCCCTGGTCTCTTTCCAGCGGCTCCATGTAGCTGCTGAGCACCAGGTCTATGACCAGCCCTGCTCTAGGATCAGCTCTGCCCTCCCAGCTCACCAGCATCCTGTTCCCAGTGCGTTGTTGGAGCAGAGCATAGAACTGCTGGGTCTAGCTGGGAGCTGGCGTATGTGACAAGTTCCCAGTTCAGCTTCTGCAAGGGTTATTTAACCTTCGTGTACCTGCAGTGGAAACACCAGTCTCCTACAGATCCACTTCCCAAGGACTGCCGGCCCCGGGGTTCAGGGTTTTGGGTGAACCCATGGCCTGTGTTTGCATCCCCTGCTCACAGCTGACCTGGGTTGTTGCAGCCGTGTGCCACCAGCGCAGCATTTCGGAGCCCTCCGTTTGCTGGCAGTCCCTCGCCAGCAGCGTTTTGCACAGCCCATCCTACGGCCGCCCGAGCACAGCATCCAGCTGGCTGGAGGAGCGGGGTGCTCCCCGGGGGGCTCCCCGGGACTCCCCTGCCTGCAGGGTGCCTTTCATCTGCTGCTTCGCAGATGTTGGGTTTGGCTCGTGTCTGACTTGCATCAGTTACAGCGCAACAGCCCCGGAGTCTTTGGCAAAATCAACTTTGGAGCAGCTGTCCTGAGTCAGCCTGGCACCCGGGCTGGAGCCGTGGGTCTGTTCCCGCTCAGTGCAGTCTGTCCTGACGGTCTCGACATCTCCCCTGCCCACGTGGAGAGCGTTTCCCTGGCAGGAGAGGTCTAAATGTGGCACAAGCATGTATTCTGCATGCTTCGTGTTTATCCAGGAGCGCACGAGCCAGAGGAGCTGCGGCCTCTGCGCTCTCTGCCCCCATCAGCAAAGCAAGCGCTTCCCCAGCCTCCCTCCTCGCTGCAGGGACAAGCTGCTGTCTTATGGTGGCATTGGTGAAGCAACGGTGCGTGAGGTCTGATCTTGCTCTTGCCAGGGACGCGGCGGCAGTCAGGAATTTCTGACAGTATTGGGTGTTCATTAATTCATCGCTCCTTGCAGCGCTCTGGAAGGGACAGCTCGGTGATGCTGGCACCGAGAGCACTACAGGTTTGGCACCGTCCCTGCAGAGAGCACAACGGGTCAGACAAGTACAGGATCTGCCCGTGGCATGTCCCAGGCAGCCACCGCTTCTGTGCCAGTTTGTTTCTAGGATCTTTCTATTTTAGACAAGTGTCTGCTGGGAGTGCTCCCTGCCATCCCTGTGTGCCTGTGCTGCTGAGTGGTCCTGCAGCTCGGCTGCATCCTGCCTCTGCTGGCGCAAACCCCTCAGAGCCAAGTGGGGTGCTGGAGTCCTTGCTAAGAAAAGACCAGCTCCGTGCTGGGAAGCTAAAGAGAAAAGTGAAGGTCTGCGTTGCGGCATTTCTCTTGGGAGAATGCTGGTGCTGTGGTGTCTTTGCATCTCTGCTGTCCTGCAGGCACTCCTAGTTGCAATATATTCATTTTTATTTTATTTTTTCCCCAAACAGAAGCCAGGTGCTAGAAGAAAACATCTTTTAAATCACTTCTTCCCTGTAGGTGACCAAAGCAGCGTGGGCCACGCTGCCGGCTGTGCTGCTCGAGCACCTCCCGGGCGGCAGCGCGCCTGCGTGCTCTGCGGTGACAAACCCCCGCCTGCCATCGCCCCGCGCTTCCTCTGCCTTTTGTCTTGGCTGGGGGCTGTGGAGCCCCGAGCCCTCCTTCTTGCACTGCAGGCAGCGTGGCGAGGCAGCACGTAGCATCTGCTCCCTGTGCCGGGGACAGCTTTGCCTCCACGCCCCCCTGCCCAGGGAGGGGGTCAGCCACTTCTGCACGCTGCCTGTTGCACGTTAGCGGAGCTTGATGGAGGAGCAGCGGTCAGGAGGTGCTGGAGATGCTCGTGGCCTTTATTGCAAGCGGAGGGGGGCTGGCTGCACCATTTCTTTAATTTCTTAATTTCTCTGTGCGTGCTGCTAGACCTGATCTGCACCAATTTTCCAGGCTGCTGTCCCGTCCTGCTTCAGGCTCTGTCCCGCGCATGCAAGTGATGCCTGGAGGAGTTACAACAATTGCATAACCCAGCGCTGCTGCCCGTGGCAGCATATTTTCCACGTGATTTAGTTTTGTGTGTGTTTTTTTTTTTTTTTCCTAGTGGTATGTAGGGATTTTTTTCCACTTTTGGCCTTACCATTTTGGAATGGGGCTAATTTGGGATCTGTGGTGAGACCTCGGGCACGCCGGGCCAGTTGGGTTTGCAAGGGGCAGTGTGGCAGCGTGTTGCCAGCTGTGCAGTAGCCTGAATCCATCCGTGCTCCGGGAGGAGTGTGTTGCTACCGTGTGTGTCAGCTACGGGACGTCTGCTCTCTAGCAGCTCTGTGAGTAATGCTGCTCCGCACAGCTCGGGATTGAGGGTTGGAAAAAAAGAGTTCAAAGTGACCCAACAGACTTTGGGATCATTTCTGGGTTTGCTTTTTATTATTTTTATATGTTTTTTTCTGCTTGGCCTGTGTTTGAGCGTGTGGAAGTGCACTGGGCTCAGAGGAAACAAGCGCTTCTGCTGTGCAGACCCCGGCAGGCTCCTGCCCCTCGCTGCAGGAGAAGGGATGGTGGGCTTGTGTTTGGAGGAGCCCCTTTGGACCAGCCACGTTCCTACAGACAAATCCCTTCAGAGGGAGGGAGAGAAAACCAGGCAGTGCCTCATCAAAGGCCAGGAAAAACAGTGGGGTGAGAAGATGAGCTGAGAGCCATATTGCTGTTTGAAGGAATGACAATGAGGACTTTGCAATAAGTCGTTTGCAAATAATAATGTTTTTATTAATAATACTAAAAACGGTAAATAAGCGTTGCAAAAAGCTTAACGAAAATAAAATGCTTGCTTAGGCTGGTGGTTGCAGGGACCCAGGC